TCTCGAACCCCAGTATTCTCCACATTGCTTCACGTGGAGAAATATACCTACAATCATTGTAGAGTTTTATTTCATCCACGGGTTTCTAATTGTCATCTGCATTTGAAGCTTCATAAAATCCGGTTGTCACACGATCATGTCCTTTGTTGACGTATTTGAACAAATATTTGATTGACCGACCCTGATTACACCACTCAACATTAAGATGAGCCCCGTACTTCAAGAGTAAATACATGTTATGGGGAACAACATATTTTTTTTCAAGTTGTGTTACACCTTTCACAACACTCCTTCCATCATTGCGCCTTCTATACCTTGGATAACCTTCATCGTCAACGGTTGTCTGTTCATTGAAATTCTTGGGGAAGTGCTTTGAATACTTAGATTGTACCATGCATGGAGCACTTTTTGCTTCATTTCCACACGCCCCATGCATCATATGCGTGCGTACTGCATTGAAATATTCAGGATCATTTGACTCGTCAGATATTTCTGCAGAAATGATGCCATCAATGTCCACCGGAGTGGGAAACTTGTCTGCACTTCCCATGAATAACAAAATATGAGCGTGGGGAAGGCCACGCTTTTGAAATTCCACCATGTATATCACTGCACATAAAAATATACACGCATCACTATAAATTTACTATACTATATATGACATTGAATTAAATAGGATAATGTTGTGACCTATGATATACCTGCTTTGACTTCGCCAAATATCTTATTTTGACGTAGATCTTTAATCAATCCATCCAACTTCATCTTGAAAACTCGACATACTATATCTGGTCTGTCTTCAGGACTCAAGTTTCTCTCTTTGAGAAATCTTACAATTTCTGGCCACTTTGGATTGCATGTGAACGTCAAGAAAAGATCCGGATACCCAGCCCAACGACATATTGCCATTGAATCTTGGTAATTTTGAACCATGTAACGTGCTCCTCCAACAAATGTAGGTGATAAGACAACTCTCTTTCCTTGGGTAGAAGCATCTCTCTCGCCATTAAGCAAAGCATCAGAAAGCCCTTTGTACATTTCACATCGCAATTGTTTTTGATGTGTTCTGATGTACATTAGTCTTGAAGATTCAACCATTGTATATCCATCATCTACAAATTGTTGGAACAACCTTCTACTTTGGAGGATGAAAGTGCATTATGTGGTCCACTCATGCAGTCTATATGCCAAAAATTCCCTAATGCTAACACTTCGATGACCCTTTGTAGAATAACTATTACCATCACAAAAGTTAATATCCTCCCTATAACCATCTTCACCAAAGGGAAAGAGAAGTGGATATTGCAACCCCAAGTATGCAGGATTCAATTCATTTATACGCTTCAAAAGTCCTCCCTATGTTTCAACCATTATATCTCTTTCACCAAGTGATTCATCAAAATCCCCCACAACCAAAGCTGCTACCTCTGAAACCGTAGGTAGATTATAAGTTCTAGCATCTTTGTTTCTCCTACCTATCAACTTCAAACTCACTTTTGTCTCGCTACCTTGAACAATCTTGTCTCTAACCATCCTAAATGACTTCACCAAAACATTATGTTCATCAAGCATTCCTCTTAAAGTGGACATGATTTGTTCGTGCAAATTGTTCTTTTTGCCATCGTCTCTCACAGAACTCAAGCGGTTAAGATTCTCGTTTTGTGTGTCATATATATATATAGTTGGGCAAACTTTGAGAAACTTCCTTCTTGTGGCAACAGAGACCCTATTAGATGATAATTCTGACCACCGAGTTTAAAAATTGGTGGTCCCCCACCCCTATTAACTGAATTATCTATCCTCCCACCTATCGATGTAAACGAAAACATACTATTATATGATCTGATATTATGTTGGAAGTGTTTACTCCTCGGATCTGTCCCGTTAATGAAATCATATAATTCAGGTGGGGGTCCTTCAATTTGGGCAATACTATTTTTCCTTGCGTGCAACAAACAGAGTACTTAGGGTTGGCTTTTGTAGAATTTCGAAGTGTCCTCTCATCAAACCAGAAAAGTGCTCCACAGTGGGCACAATTATGTGATGGATCCCCAATATCATAATATTCAGCACTTACTGTGTTTAGAAAGAGAAATTATGAAGCAATCTTAGTGTGAATTAAAGTAAAAAAGGTCCATATTAATATTAATAATTAATAAAATATGGTTATTTGATATTACATATTATATTTTAAACTGGTATGAAACTTGGTTATTTGATATTACATATTATATTTTAAATATTTCCATTAAAAATAATAGAATACAAAGTTTTGTATATAAATTCGACTACATCACTAAAAAAATAAAAACCTCAAATTTAAAAATAATACGGAGTAGTAATAACAATCGCACCTTCAACTTGTTGTTGTTCTAATAGAAGATTATTTTGTATATGTGTTGATACTTCGTCACAGTTATGCTGGTTGTCCAGGAGATGCACATTTGGGCATTGGTCTACATTATTGATATTCGTTGTCCTCACACTCGAAGAACGATTAAATGACAAATGCAATATTGTAGAAGTAAATACAAATAGTACATAATCAACATCATAAAATATTTATGGGTTAATATAAATAGTAAAAAGTAAGAATTACCATTCTTTCTATCAACGAAAGCATCTGATGATCCACTGTGATGGTGCAAGGAACGTTTGTGAACATTACAGTCAACATTTTCTGTCCACAAAGTCAATTAAATATAAACATGTCTCGATTACATGATTCCAATACAATAAACAATTTCTATTACATGATTCCAATACAATAAACTATTTCTATTACATGATTCCAATACAATAGACTATTTGTATGCCCTCAATTACTATTATTATTTTTAGGAACTCATTTTATGTTTGGAGTAACAATTTTGAATCTTGTTTAAACACTATAAGCAAAACTTTTATTCACAAATCTTACTTTGGTAAGGGTCATTATACAAATTATATTTTTAATCATTAAACAATAACTTGAAGCCATTATGATTCCAGTACTATAAACTATTTCTATTACCTTATTCCAGTGCAATTATGACTCACTTGATTTTAAATATTATTTATTATCAACGAATAAATTAAATATTATCGCAAAAAAATATTTATTAAATATTATCAATGAATTGCTTTTTAAAAATCAAATTTAAAATTCAACTACATCACTAAAAAAACCTCAAATAAGAATATAATAGTTATAACATCGCACCTTCGACTTGATGTGATTGTGATGGAAGTTTATGTGTTGATACTTCGTCACAGATGGAAGTTTATGTGTTGATACTTCGTCACACATTTTAAGACATAACGTAACATTAAAGATGTAATTTGCATATTTAACCTAGTGTAACATTTTCTAAGTTTGTTTTAAAATGTTAAGAATATGTAACATTTTAAGACATAACGTACAAATGTAACACTTTTTAAAAATATGTAATACTTGCAAATACGTAACATAACAATGTACCACTTATGAATTTTTGTAACACCATAATTAATGTAACACTTTTGATGACACAGTGACAACCTAGTTAAATACCTACGATATACTTCGTATACTATATTGGCAGGGCTGCCAAGTCTCAATTAGAATAAGTAACCGGCCCAAGTCTTCGGTGATAATTACTTATATTTTGAGAATAAAAATAGGTTAAAGGATCAAATAGGTAATGAACTAACTTAAAGTGTTCAATTAGCCCCTTATATAGGAGGTTTTGCTCGTCCGTCACCAATTGGGCGGTTCCCGGGGGGATTTTTTGATGATTTTTTTTTAGCATCTTTTTCATTAAGTCTAGTTTAGCCATACAAAATTTCAGCTAAAAATTCAATCGGGAAGGAAGTCAAATGACTTTTTGAAGATAACTGCTTAGTTAAACAGCGTAGTACATTTCGGAAAATCATTTGCTTGCCTTCCCGATTTAATTTTTAGCTGAAATTTGATATTGGTAAACTAGACTTAATGAAGAAGATGCACAAAAAATTTCATCAAAAAATTCCATCGGGAACCGCCCCAATTGGCGACGGCCGGACAGAATCTCCTAAATAAGGGGCTAATTGAACACTTTAAGTTAGTTCATGTACCTATTTGACCCTTTAGCCATAAAAATATGAGAGACCTATTTTGGAACTATCAAACATTTTTACTCTTATTTCTGAGATTTTTCCTTTTCTTTCTATCTTTTATAATTTTGTTAAATTTAACTGGCACACGAAATTATTAAATGAACACTGTGTATGGAGGTTCATGCAAGAGGAAATAATAAAAATCACAAATTAATTATTTAAAGGGAAATGGTGCAAATAAGCCCTCGAAATAACCGAAAAAGTGCAAGTCACCCCTTTTATAGGAGGCTCTGTCTAGCCATCGCCATTTGGGGAGGTTCCCGGTGGAAGTTTTTGATGAATTTTTTTTGAACATCTTCGTTAAGTCTAGTTTACTCATACCAAATTTCAACAAAAATTCATCCGGGAAGCCAATCAAATGATTTTTTGAAATATACTGTGCTGATTAACTGCGCATTTATCTTCAAACATTTATTTGATTGCCTTTCCGATTGCACTTTTAGCTGAAATTTGGTATAGGTAAACTAGACTTAATGAAGAAGAGGTTCAAAAAAATTCATTAAACAATTCCATCGGTAACGACCTCAAATGGCGACGGCCGAACAAAGCTTCCTATAAAAGGGGTGGTTTGCACTTTTTCGATTAGTTCGAGGGCTTATTTACCTCTTTTCTCTTATTTAAAAAGTAAAGTGGCAAAGTTTATGGAAAATTGAGAAATGAAAGATGAAAAGTTATAAGAAGTGGAGGAAGTAATACTTCTTATTTAGAGAAATTAAACAACCTTACATATCCACGTATATGGAAATCACAAGTGTTTACTCTTTAATGGCAATTTCTATTTCTTTAATAATCCGACATAAAAGGGAAATTCCTAACGGGCACATACAACGGCTATTTTCTAACGGTCCAATCTACAAACCCAATTGCCTAAATTACACCCTCTTCCTCTTCTCCTCCTACATAGACTGCCATCTCATCTTCCCGATTCCCTCTGCAATCCTTCAATCTTCGAATCAGACTGAAAACTCATTATCCGGGAGAAAAGTCGAAGATGTTGCAGGAGATGTGGAATGGACCGCCGGGTTTCAGGCCCACTAAATCTGCCCCTGCTTCCCCCGCTAAGCCTCCAGTCGTCCCCAGAACCCAATCCTTCCATGCCGCCCACAAAATCCCCATAGGTGACAGTCCGTATGTCCGAGCCAAGAATGTCCAAGTATGAATCGCTAAATGTTTAATTCCTCACAAACCCATCTTCTTCTCGCTATTGTCATATGATTATTACTGGGTTTTTGTTTTGACTGTGTTTGTGTTGTTTGAAATAAAGTTAGTTGAAAAAGATCCGGAGAAGGCCATACCTCTGTTCTGGGCAGCCATTAATGCCGGGGACAGAGTTGACAGCGCCCTGAAGGATATGGCGATAGTGATGAAGCAGCAGAACAGAGCTGAAGAAGCCATTGAAGCCATTAAATCTTTAAGACATCGGTGTTCTGATCAAGCACAAGAGGCTCTTGACAATATTTTGCTAGACCTCTACAAGGTTTGTTTGATTGAACTGTCACTCCAACTCTTACTTTTTAAAAAAGACTCGATTTTTCATTGTTTCTTGCATTACCCTTTTCTCGGGAATTTGCAGAGATGTGGGAGATTGGATGATCAAATCACATTGTTGAGGCACAAACTGTTCTTGATTCAAAAAGGGCTGGCCTTCAATGGAAAGAGAACCAAGACAGCCAGATCTCAAGGGAAAAAGTTCCAGGTTTCAGTAGATCAAGAAGCTACTAGACTTCTGGTAATAACACTATCTTTTGACTGTAAAAGAACACTCTTTTAAGATGGGGTGGGAAAAAAGATAAAAGACAAATCTTTTATGCACTCTGCAGGGAAATTTAGGATGGGCATTGATGCAGCAAAACAACCACATAGAAGCGGAAGATGCATACAGAAAGGCGTTGACCATATCAGCAGACAATAACAAGATGTGCAATCTTGGGATCTGTTTGATGAAACAGGGGAGAGTGGGCGAGGCTAAAGAGACGTTGAGACGAGTGAAACCCGCCGTCTCCGACGGCCCAAGAGGCGTTGACTCACACCTAAAGGCCTACGAGAGAGCCCAGCAAATGCTTCAGGATCTTGAATCCGAATTGATGGCTAAGGTTGTTGGGTCGGGAACCAAGCTCGAGCAGAGAAGGGCATTCGAGTCTTTCTTGGGATCTTCAGCCATCTGGCAGCCTCACCCCTGTTCTTCATCATCTTCAACCCCAGTAGTAGCTGATCCATTCCCAGATGAGAATAGCATCAACAATTCTGCTTCGAATTCGCTGAATGTTGCTGCCCAGCCCTTCTTTTCATCTAAATTTGTTAAAGAGCCGCTGAAGAGGACAAGGTCCATTAATGGCGGCGGCATCCCGGACTGTGAGGCCAAAATGAGAAGACAGAGCTCAGTTTCTGACGATGAGAATAAAAGGCGTGGGAAAGAAGCAGAAGCGATGCTACCAGACAGCAAAGACTTTGAGAATGCAATCATTGCGGCGGTTTTGGACGGGACGACGTCATCAAAGATGGAATCTTGCTGTCCGAGAAAGATTGACAAGAGGCTTAAGGTTTTCCAAGACATCACTCTGTCTTTGAGCCCAAAAGCAGCCTGACTGCCGTACTGATTTCTGTTAACATTATTTTGGGGTTGGTTAATTATTTGTTTATTCATTCATTTAATTATTTATTCAATCTCTAATTATCATTCTTAGAGATATATTATTGGAGAGATGGTGAGATAGATATAGGGAGATGAGCAGCTTGTTCTCCTCTAAACTTTCACATTCACTATTAAGATGTCTTCCGGTGTTTATTCATTTATGGGTTCCCTTTGGACGATTATATATCAATATAAAGTGCCATTGGGCTCTATTGTTCTAACTACCACTACGAAGTCATGTTTACATTGTTCCCTTTGGACGATTTCTAGTCTTGTTTTTTTTTTCATTTTTAGTAATCGTTGTGTTAGTTTGCATTCACTGTGTTAGTACCAAGACATGCTATGGTTCTTTGGTGTAATTACAAGAAGATAATCCACATGCTATAGTAATAGCATGTGGTTCGTAAATTTTATATTAGTAATAATATTTGAAGAAAACCCCCAAAACATTATATCTAAGAATTACGCAAGTATCTTTGAAACTCATTGATGAGTAATCATCACAAGCAGCAATATCTTTTTTGTTAGAATTAGTACTACAAAGATAACACTTATCTTCAAAGATAACAAAGATAACACAATTTCTCTCAATATTCAATATTTTCCATCTTGCATTTCATAAACAATTATACATTAAATACTATTTTGTGCAAGGTGAACCGCGTTGATCGAACATTTGAAAGAGGACCCCAATGTTCTTATGTTGGATAAGTTGAAAACAAATAACCTGATTTTCCAATTCCTAATATCCTCATGGCTGAACAGGATGACGTAGTCAATGAAGCAGCACCTCCACCCTCGCTTGACATTGTATATGATTCATTCAAACAATACAAATTATATTTTAGAACTAATGACCTATAATAGTTGTCATAGCAGTTCTCTTATATAATATGTTGATCTTTAAGTGAAGAATTATTAGATCACATCCGATTGTACTTTTAGTGTAATCATATTGCAATTACCTGGCTGGATCTAAAACCAGTGAGTTCTTCGGTGTTTAAGATGAAAATCATCTACATGACATGATAGGTATTTAACACACAGACATGCCCTATAATTACGATATATCATAGTAAATGCGGTGTTGTAGATAGTTTTATAATCATACTAGGCATTTATCAGTATCATTTTTAAATAACCAAAGACAACCTATGTTCATGTATTAGATTGAGCGCATAAGCAAAAATAATTATAGTAAATGCGATCATATCTTGCTCTATTTTGTACCGTTGAAAGCGTTTAATACCTCGTTGGAAATATCTTACCGATTTCTAAAACTTGTCTTCAGGCGATGGTTTCAAAAAATCAAGGGATTATTGCCTAATTACTAAAGTACAGTGTATTTACGCTAAAAGTGCTCTATTTTAGCTGAAAACGCTAAATCCTAGAGATAAGGCTAAGTATTTGTGACACTCATATCCTGCTGTGTGTTTATCCGTTTGGGGCGTGTTATATCTCGTTGGAAAGATAGATCGGAGCTCTAAAGCTATTTTTCCAACTTCATTTACAATGCATTAATTAAAAGTTACAGATTAACCATATATAAACAAATGTTTCTGATTTCACTCCGAACTCGTGTAGAATTTGATGCGATCATATCTTGCTTTATTTTGTGCCATTGAAAGCGTTTAATATCTCGTTGGAAAGATCTTACCAAGTTCTAAAACTTGTCTTCAGGCGCTGGTTTCAAAATAGCAAGGGATGATTGCCTAAGTACTAAAATACACTGTATTTACGCTAAAAGTGCTCTATTTTCGCTGAAAACGCTAAATCATATCTTGTTGTGTGTTTATCCGTTTGGAGCGTATTATATCTCGTTGGAAAGATAGATCGGAGCTCTAAAGCTATTGTTCCAACTTCATTAACAATGCATTAATTAAAAGTTACAGATTAACGATATATTCACAAATGTTTCTGATTTCACTCTGAACTCGTGTAAAATTTGATGTGATCATATCTTGCTCTATTTTGTGCCGTTGAAAGCGTTTAATACCTCGTTGGAAATATCTTACCGATTTCTAAAACTTTTCATCAGGCGCTGGTTTCAAAAAATCAAGGGATTATTGCCTAATTACTAAAATACAGTGTATTGCCTAATTGTCATCAGGCTCAGTCTAGATAAATTCTTTCTTTGTATTTTCATCATGTTTAGTCTCCAAATGAGGAGCTAAACTCTTCCATCTTGGTTTTGCTACTTTGAAGCTTAATGAATTGTAAGTTGTGAGTTATTTTCTTTAATCTTCTTCCTTTAAATATTAATTAATCTATCTCTATATAAATGTCGGGGGTGTTGCTAAGATGACAATTAGATAACATCTCGACATTAATTATAGTAGCATTTATTTTCTTTAATATTCTTCCTTGAATATTGATTCATTCCTATTCATATTTCATATTAATATTTTGAGCATTACTTAAAGGATCAACTAGTTTTGTTTCATATATTAATTATTACTAGAATCGATCGACGAATACGCTTGTTAATCGTTCGGTCCTTTCACGGTAGTAAACCTGGATTGTTAATGCACGCGTCTCATGGTTAATAATCTAAGGGAAATTAATTATATTGATTAAACCAATAAATCGCTTGTGTTGAGGTTATCAATCTCAATCGTTTTCATCTTAAGTTTATTGCTACTATCGGGTTAATATACGGCACGTGTTCTATATTGACTCAGTAGTAAGTTTTATTAATGAACGCGTCTCATTATTAATAACTACCCTCGATGAAATGGAGATACTCCTCGATTGAGTATTCGAGAGGACGATAGTTAAAGATATAACCGAGATCGACGAACATTTCATTAAGTATATAAAAGCAAAATCAAATCCTCATCTCTATTAATTAAACTCATATAAGTCATTCATCTTACTGTTAATTAAATCAAACTTAAAACCCCCTTTGTACTGTTTAATTAAAAGAAAGATATTCTTTTCCCTGTGGATACGAACCTTACTACACTATATTACGTATAAGTGTTGTATTGATATTTATATTACGTGTAAGTTTGTAAACTTGTTTTTCATGAACTTGATATCAATTATTTTCCATATTTTGTAAGCTTTGTTAGCGTGTAAAATTGTTTACAATCACCGACACATGGTCACTATAGATATATAAAGTAATTTATAATCATTTTTACACTAATCATGTTAAGCAATGGGTTCAATATAGTAAATTTTTTTCTTATATACTTGCTCTCCTACAAAATTTTGTCAATTTTTTTAGTAATTAGTTGTCTACAAGATCTTTCCATTTACATTAAATTTTTAGATATAAGGTCAAAATTAGTTTTATCTACTCTGCTCAAATATTGGCCATACATTTTACTTATTTATTCCATATAGTCAACTTCAACCAAGTTTTTAACTACTCTGTACTAATTTTTCCCATTAACCTTTATTATTTTAAAAAGGGTGAGTGAGTGTTATTGTACCTCAGAAATAAATGTGAGGTACCTATCAAATACTTATTATCATTCTCTCATCGTTTATTATAAGTATTTAAATTGTTCATATTTTGAAAATTTAAAATGAGATAAATTTAATAATATTTTTCAAAAAATTAACTTATAATACATTAATAAATAAAATGACTCAAAATAGAGTATGTGAACGATACTAAACTCATCAATGTTGCAATTAAAAAGAAACATTTTGTGTGTATCATTAATATACTTTGTCTGTATCATAAATATAGGCGACTTGTTTGTGGTTCCCATAAAATGGAAGGGGAGTACAAAATAGTGTCTAAATCACATTCTCTAGCATTAAATACAATATCAGTTTAAATTGAGAAAGATACGTACATGATTTATACGTGAAGTATAAAAATGATAAAACACACTTATTTTTCTTTCAGGGTATTAAATGCACAATTGATCCATTACAAACGACTTTGATGCAGTATTTTGTAGTATTTACATAATGTATGATATTAATGTACAAAATTTTGAGATTTGGCCTCTTAAACACAAATTACCCAATGACCATTTGAAACATAAACCGATTGAAATCTAAAACGGTAACAGCTGGAATTTTGAAATTCGAAGATCAACACCATTGCACCACAAAGCTGAGTTGGCCACTGCCGATTGGTAAACCCAACCCAACCCAACCCAACCCAACCCAACCCAACCCAACCCAATCCAATTCAGTCCAGTGAGAAGTCCATCCCTTGAATCAGTTGAATGTACTTTCTTACTTGTCTTCTCTCCCGCCTATTGACCACCTTCGACGGTCGAACTTCCCACAGACCCGACCCATGTACCAGTCAGGCAGTCAGCGCATTTATTGACTTTCCTTTTAAAAGAAATCTTCGGACCGGTCGGTAAATAACTACAACGAAAGGGGTAATTTGGTCACAAAATCATACAACTGTATCTATAACCCGGCACTCTGTCCAACGTTCCACTCTCGCTCATGTGTTGTTCTTGTCGTCTCCGTCTTTCTTCCCCCATTTCTTACACCACTTTCTGTTAAAGAGATTAAAAGAGATATTTTTTTTATTGTCTGTTCTGTTTTCTCTGTTTCCTTAACTGTAACTTTTCTTGCGTTAATTAACAATTCACAACAGAGAAAAAACAGAGTAGAGGAGCTTTTTTCAAACTTTCTGCCTTTTTTTATAAGAAAAATTGAATCTTGTGAACCGGAATTGGGTATGTGTGTAAAATTTGAAAACAGGAGAAAAAGGTGGGGAGACTGGGAGAGTGATTTATAGAGAGAGAAAGAGATAGAGATAGATAGAGAGAGAATGGGGTGTTGGTATTCGAGGGTAGAGAGGGAAGAACTGGTTTCAAGATGCAAAGCTCGGAAGAGTTATATGAAACAGTTGGTGAAGGCCAGGCAAGCTTTCTCTGCTTCTCATTCTATGTATCTCCGGTCTCTCAGAAACACCGGCTCTTCCCTTCTTCAGTTCGCAACCGCCGAGATCAATCTCTGCCACCTTCCTCCGCCTCCGCTGCCGTCTCCGCCACCTCCGCCTCCACCTCCTCCTCCGCCGCCGCTCAGCCCCACTGCCACTTCCGCCACGTGGACCACCTCCTCCACCACTACTTCATCTGTCATCCGCCCGCCTCCTCCCCCGCCGTCTCCGCCGCACGGGTCCGGGTGGGATTTCTGGGACCCTTTTCTCCCTGCCGCAGTGAGGTCCGGGAATGAGGAGGAGTGGGAGGGGACCACCGTTACTTCCGAGGTTGCCGTCACAACCACCGCATGTGACGCCAGCGTGGCGGCTCCGCCGTCCGTGGTCAGTCAGTTCTCGAAAGACACCGCCGCCGCCAGCGATCTTGCGGTGGTCGTCTCCACCAAGGGCAAGGATTTGCTGGAGATCGTCAAGGAGCTGGATGAGTACTTTCTCAAAGCTGCGGATGCGGGCGGCCAAGTCTCATTGCTCTTGGACGTCCCCGGAGGTTCTCTCTCCGACAGAACATCCTCAGGTACGTTAAGTACAACTGCGCAAAGTACAAGCATGCTGCCATTCTTTCTCATCCAATTGTTATTTTGTGTCCAGGGAGAAGTATCGGGCCAATGCTGTGGTCATTCGGGTCAAGTCCGAAATGGAATGGGTTTGGGAGATGCTATGATGATTCAATGGCTAATAATGTAATTTGTGGGGATGGCAATTCCAGCCATTGTTCCACAGTGGAGAGATTGTGTGCATGGGAGAAGAAGCTCTATCTGGAAGTTAGGGTAAGTAGTAAAAATTTCAAATTTTACTGCTCCATTGCCAAAGCAAGAATTTTTTTACTGTATGTTCACGTGTTACAGTGTAATTCTTGGGTACCAATAGTCCAACACAATGAGTTTATTATGTCGTTTCCCAAGAAAGCAACAAGAACAAAAACATAGCACATTGTTTGAATGTTTGGCCGTCCTTTTTCTAAGTAAGTTGTGTCATCACAACCTTAAGCATGATCATGGGGTCCACTATTTCAACGTTTTCCCCACCTATTTTGGCTGTAATAAGAGTCTCTGTTGGGTGTTTTTTTGTGTAATGTGATTTTAAGAATGGTTTTTTAGCAAGTATAAAAAATGTTTTACTAAAAACAGTTGTAACCAAGTTTGGTAATGTTTTTTAGAGGTCTAATGCATCAAACACTCATCTCATACAATAATGTTTCAAACTCCTTTTGTTTACCAAAAAACACTAACTTTTTAACTTAAAGCTTACCACTATGAGCAATACCAAACAGATCCTAATAACCTTTTTTTTAAAGAAAAGACCCTAAAATGCTTTACAAAGTGCCTTTGGTGATTTAGAATTTTCCAAAAGAAAATCTTCACTCAAAAGCACTTGTGAAAGAATTCTCTGAAGTGCCTTGAAAACTATATTCCAAACAAGATTTTACACAAAAAAAACTTTTGGCTCATATGAAATGCTTGATGTTCAATAGGGAAGGGGTTGATTGGGTAAATAATTATTGTCATTTTATTTTAGAAGCTTATCTGAATGGGGGTAGTGTAGAATGCAGAGACACTGAAACTAGAGCATGAGAAAAAAGTTGGACAGTTAAGGAAGCTAGAATTGACAAGAGGGGATTATGTGAAGACAGAGAAGACAAAGAAAGAGGTTGAGAAGTTGGAATCCCAGCTGATGGTGGCCACCCAAGCTATAGAAACTACCTCTGCTGAGATTGTCAAATTGAGAGAGTCAGAGCTTTATCCCCAACTTGTTAATCTTATCAAAGGGTTTGTACGCTCTCTATTCATCTATTCCTAATTCCATGAGGCTAATTTGATGGTCTCTGGTTTCAATTTTTTACTGCAAAAAGTACTGAGTTATAGTTACCAACTTTAACTGTTAGTTAAACGGTTTTGTAAATTAATGCTTACATTAAAGCTCTGTTAGATTGTAGGCCATAATTTGTTTCAGCAGTATGATACTGTGTCATTTCAACTAGGTTTATCGTTTAGGTTTCTTATTCCTTTTGGGTTTAGGTCCATTGTAACAGTGTATAACAATTATGAACTTGTATGTTCAAAGTCATTAATAAAAATGTTAGTCGTTTAATATGATTGGGAATTGTGAGCCGAAAACACATACGTAGTATCAAACAATTTCAGAAAAAGACTTCCAGTTTCGAAAAAGAGAATATTTGTGGAAAAAAATGATGCTTTGATGCCTATAGTATACACTTTTTATGCTCTTAGCCCCAGATACAGAGTATGGATTTTCCAGCCCCGCCCTTCCCAGTGAACATTTAGTGTTCAATCATCAAAAAAACTAATCGAGAACGAGAAAAAAGTTGGTTTAGGAAATGTGTAAAGTAATAATTTGGAAAAGCTTATAAAGCTTTGTATTGAGAAGCAATATTTATAGTGTTCAGCCTTACAACGTTGCATGTCTACGTCCTACCATAATGACAAGATAACAAAAATAAGACATGTAGCTGATTACTGTTGTGTGCGGCTTTAATGGACCATATACATAATACTCCGATGTTTACCGCGCTGCCTTTTTTTTATCTACATAATACTCGGCTACACGCATATATAAGTAATAGTAAACTTTAAAATCACCTTGGTCGTTTTAATTGTTTGCAGATTGATGCAGATGTGGAGGAGCATGTATGAGAGCCATCAGGTTCAAACACACATAGTCCAACAGCTCAAATATTTCAGTACCACACAGTCGTCGGACCCCACATCCGAAATCCACAGACAGTGTACTCTCCAGCTCGAGCTCGAAGTCCAACAATGGCACATCTCCTTCTGCAACCTCGTAAAATCCCAACGTGACTACATTCAGTCCCTCACCGGATGGCTCCGGCTCAGCATGTTCCAGCTTAATCACAAACTGATGCAGAAGCCCAGCAGTCAAGACTCCCTGGTGTACTCATTATGTGAAGAGTGGCATCTCGCGGTAAATAATGCCCCTGACAAGGTTGCATCAGAAGGAATTAAGAGTTTCCTAAGCGTGATCAATGGGATTGTTGTCCAACAGACAGAAGAGGTAAAGCAGAAGAAACGGTCTCAGTTGGCATTCAAAGAGCTTGAGAAGAAGGCGAATGAGCTGAGGTCATTGGAGTCTAAGTACGGTCCGCACTCAATGTCAGAAAGTTCTGGAAGCAAGAATCCGGTAGGTATGACACGGGCTAGAGTGGACGCGTTAAGGGCCAAGGCCGAGGATGAGAAGGCTAAGTATGACAAGGCGGTTAGTGTGACGAGGTCAATGACATTGAACAACCTACAGATGGGGCTACCCCACGTGTTTCAGGCCGTGACGGGATTCGCTAATGTGTGCACGCATGCATTTGAGTCTGTGTACAACCAGGCTAAGAGCAGCAATGGATTGAGTGACATGAAGAGGATTTCACTCTAGTTATGCAGCTGCTGCCATGTGTCAATGTATAGTAGATGTGTGCTTTTTCCACCCCTCGCACAATCATCTTCACTTCTGTGTAAGTAGTGTTTGATGGTCTGAGTTAGTTTTTTCCTGGTTTTTACTTTTTAGTGGTTTTCAAGAATCATTCCTTATTCATCTTACAAAGTTCTGCTTGAAGTTTAGGAATGCCACTAAACTCTGCATGTTCTTGAATCTGCTAACTGTAGAGCGAATCTTACATAAAATTTGTCAGTAATTATGGGGAAAATGGCATCCCACTATGGGCCCTTCTGTGGTGGAGTGAATTAAATATTAAGTTATTGATTAGTTTAGAAATAGGGAGAATTACACATACATTTTTCCTTCTTATATCATATATACCAGCTAACATAGTTAACATAAAGGACACGTTTATTTCACGGGTTAGTAAACGATGCTTATTAAGACTTGCGTTAATAAGCGGCACATTAAATAAGCAGTGTTGTAAGCTCATGTTTACTTCAAAGGATTTAAAACACCGTTTAACATTAAAATGTTCAAAATTACCCTATAGATATACACACACATACATTCATGAACACAAGTATACAATATAATATGTGGAATCACCTTGTACGCTTAGTCGCTTACCCACATCCCTAACCCCTACCCCACCCTGTACCGTCGGGATAGGGAAGGGTAGGGGTGGGTTTGGGGTCAGGTGAAGATAGGAGAAGGTGGTAGGGGTCAAAGGGTAGGGTAAGGGGTGAGGGTGGGGGTGGGGTAGGGCAGCTGGTGGAGGGTAGGGTCAGGGTAGGGGTAAGGTGGAGGGTAGGGTCGGGGTGGGGGGTCGGGGGGTCAGGGTGTGGTTAGGGTAGGTCAAGGTAGGGGAAGGGGTAGGGGTAAGGGTGTAGGGTCGGGTCAAGGTAGGGGAAGGTGGTGGGTAGGGCAAGGGGTGAGGGTGGGGGTGGGGTAGGGCAGGTGTGGTGGAGGGTAGGGCCGAGGGTGGGGTTAGGGTCGGGGTAAGATAGGGTAGGGCGGGGGTAGTGGGGTAGAAATAGGGTAGGGCAAGGGGTAAAAGTAAGGGTAAATTCGGAAACTGAAAAAGCTTAAAGTGCCGCTTAATTAATACATGCGGGTGGTATGCTTAGTAAGCGGCACTTTATGCACCTCTTTCGGTTAGTAAGCAGCGTTTTAAGCAACATGCGTGTTTACTTCATTTGTCTTACTAATTTAACTGTGACTTCAGTAGCGAGTAAATGACTCCAAAGAGTACTCCCTCCATCCCACTAGACTTTGCCAACTTTCCTTTTTTGTTTGTCCCAAAAAAATTTGTCACTTTCCTTTTAAAACAATGTTTTAGTGGCTCTGTTTATTTCTCTTCTCTGCACAAACCTCAACCACACAAATTTTACTATTCTAATTTTCCACCTAACATCAACTTGGCAAAGTTGAGTGGGACAGAGGTAATATAAAATAAGGAATTGGTATTTGATGCACCGATGAAAACACAAAGCAGTTACGTATATTAGTCACTTAACTTAATTGTGTACGCAGTGACGTATCCAGAAAAAAAGTCAGAGGGGTGAACTTACCTTTGAATAAGAAAATTCCCGGAAAAATCAGACTAATCAAGTTAAGAGAAAAAAATTGTAAAATCAATTATAAACAGTAAAATATTCTCTGTATAAAAACATTATGATATCATGTTTAATTGAATTCCACTTTGTTAGAAATAGTTATATGCATGGCTTTGTGATTTGTGAAAAATTATGTGAATAAATAAATGAATCAATTAAGGGAAGGATCAAACATGTACTTAGAATTAATTGAAATTGCAAATTCACAAGTATATTAAAAAATCAGTTTACATTATATACAAAAATGTAATTGTTAAAGTTGATAAATGATATGTAAAATTAAAATTGTAATTATATTGATTTAGTCACTTTGAATTGTACGTATGTAAAGTCACTTTGAATTGGTTTAAAGCTTCAAAAGGGAAAAAAGAAAGAAAAAATATGAAAAGTGTAGTTGGGTTTCGAACCCTTAACCTTGAAAGTGGAATGCTCAGTTCCGTATTTAGAGAGCCTTTTTCAAGGTTAAGGGTTCGAAACCCAACTACATTTTTCATATTTTTTCTTTCTTTTTGCTCTTGTGTGTACGTAAAGGTTGTTTACTTGGGAGAGGACAGTGACTTAATCGTTCAACAAATAGGTCCTGATTATTTAAGATCTAATTAAAAACACGACTTATTCATCACTGATTTAAACATTACACATTGAAAAAATGTTGTAAATTTACAAGTTACGTAACTCATACCACTTAAATCATATTAACACGAGTACAAAATATTGAATTGGTATTTGATGCTCCGATGAAAACACAAAGCAATTACGTTTATTTAGTCATTTACTTTAGTTGTGTGTATATATTAGTATACCTAATACACAGATCAATAGTTTGATGGTTGTGTGTTTGATTCTAGATCGGTCAGTTCCGGGTCCAGTAAATGGTGGATCTGCGGTCCTAATTGTGTGTATGCGTTCCGGTTCCAATGTTTGAGTCGGTTTGGCATTTGTTTCGGACCGCATCTAGGCATGAGCGTGAACAAAAGACACATGAATTCCCAAAATCTACAGGTCCAGATGCAGCTTTTTACTTGCATTTCATGATGCAAGAATTCCAATACTTTAGTATCTCTATTCTCTAGTCATATTAGACTACCCTTGAGCCACATCTTATTCCTTGATGCTACTTTAAAACACGTGAAACTTCACTTGATCCTAAAATGTGCTATATCATCTCAGGAAATATTTCAGTTGCTTATTAGTGCATATAATTATTGTGCAAATGAGTGCAATAAGGTGATAATGTCAACCAAACAGCACCCAAATACGCAGTAACTCATACTTGCAACTAATTGACGTGATTTCTGATCGTTCAGTCTAAACGCCAGTCGCCAGAGACCAAAGTACCAAACTAGTATTGTATCTCCCAAACAGGAGCCTATACCGGAAACTAGTGTTGGACCGGTACCGGGCTGACCGGCGCGTGAACCGGACCGGCCCGGGAGTCGGGTACCAGTTCCTGGCCTAGGACCGGCCCGGGGACTTAGGGCGAGGCAGTTCCGGGCTGCCCTTCCTTTGGGACCGGCCCGGGGACTTAGGGCGAGGCGATTCCGGGCTGCCCTTCCTTTGGAACCGGCCCGGCCCGGCCGGGGCCGGTTCAGGCTTTTTTTTATTTTTTGTTTTTTCAATTTTTTTGTTTTCCCTAGATGGGTTGGGTGTTTTGGGAGGGGGGGTGAGGGGGGTCGGGGGTTAATTAGAAAAGCAAAAAAAAAGGACTGGCCCGGACCAGGTGGAAACCTGGGCCGGTTCCGGGCCTCCCCCCAACAATAAAAAGCCCGCCCAGGACCGGCCCGAAACCGGTCCATGGCTACCGGAAACCAATCTAATTATCCAAACAGCTTTCATTCATCCAAAATAAAACTATATGGGCTAGTTTAGTTTCCAGCTTTTGAATTTTTAAATAAGCTAAAAACCGGGATAAGAACTAAACCGCAATTAGACCCAAACTCGACAAGTCTGCCAGATCAGAATGATATTATAAGTTACACCACTTACACCCAGTTAGAGATGGGTGACCCGACCAGTCAGAAACCATTCCAGAATGAGGATATTTCGAAACGGCATGAAGAAATAGAAGGATAATAAAGAATGAGGCCCATAAGCAAGTCATTGGTTCAGATCTCTCATCTAGAGCTTTGTAACAAGCAAAGACTTCAAAAAAAAAAAATCCTCTATATTAGCCTATGTGACAGAGAAAACTAGGCGCCCCTGTATATAACTATGGTTATTCTTGTATTATCGCAATAAATATTGACTAAGAGCATCTTACAAATCATCAGAAGGAGTAGGCCCCACAACCTCCATGGCCTGAAAAAGTTTGCAGTGCAACCAGGTCAACCGCTTCTCAACTCCAAGACACAAAAATATCTCTCTGGAAATCCTATTGCTGAACAGCTCCAAGGCAGCCAGATACACTTGGTCATCCACAGCATCTTCCAATTCATCCAAAGCTCTAATGCAATCGGTTATGGTGTACTTCTCATTATACTTTTTAATGGCATCTGCCCTGAGTCTTGAGGCGGCAGCCATTTCCGATATAGCTTTCGCAATGAAATCATCAAACCCCTTGCGCCCTTTTTTCCTGCTGCTTGTTTTTGCAGATGTGTTGGTTGAGTGAGGCTTGTCTTCCTCATCTGCTACATCATCACCATCCTCTTCCTCGGATCCAGATGGTGACAGCATGTTGTCAAGCGCAGACGAAGGTTGTGAAACTATGAGCACTTCCTTCGAAGCAGTAGTAGATGATCCGTTTGGTTTGCCTTTTGTCTTGTTGGTTTCGGCAAAGACTATGCGTAGTTGTGTGTAAAGTGGGCAGCCCGTACTCCTCAGAGACTCAGCATCTGGATGCTCCTGGTAGTAATATATTTCATACAAACTGGTAAGACTTATTACAAGTCATCAGAAACAAACCCACTAAAAAGATGTATCAGACAGCATGCGCACATGTGACTTATGAATCATTCATTAAAAAAGGCAGTCCACTCTTCTCCCGAAGTTACGGGGCTATTTTGCCGAGTTCCTTAGAGAGAGTTTTCTCGTGCCCCCGTCACCTAGTATTAATACTCTCTCGTCCAAAAAAGGCTCATGTTTCATCAAGGTACAATTTAAGACCTATTCCAAAAGTGATGAAATTTGATATTTCATCTTAACAATTTAACGGTTCATCTAGCAGAGAGTTAGTTTAAGAAATGGTGCTAATAAAGTACCATAAACAAAAAGAAAGACTTCCACTTTTGGTCCTACAAGTATTTCACCAATCCCACATTTAGTCAACGTCTTTGACTGTTACCACTTTTGGTACACAACTATCACTTCTTGCCCACATGTGATCCTTCCGTTGACATTTCTGGCACTTAAAATTGTCGGAGACGTGCTGCAAATTTGGCCAAATAACCGTCATGTACCAAAAGTGGGCAAAGTCAAAGACATGGACAACCTATGGAATTAACATAATACTTGTACAACCAAAATTGAAATTAAATCTAAAAAGAAACTACGCCTCCTATAGGCATCACAAAAATGGACAAACATGGATGTTCGGGAATAAGACCTATACCAAAATTGATGAAATTTGAATTTCATCTGATATTCCAAGTTCCAAGAATTGGCTTCACAACAAACTATGGCCAAGGAGTTTATGTGATTACAGCCCAAAAGTTGGGATATCAAATCCAATACTGTTTTTAAATAGAAGACATCATCCTAAGAAAACATGTCCCAGTTTTTGAACTACAATTACCAGTAACCATGTGATACTACCATAAAAAATTTCAATCATTCACGCATCTGGGCCCGTTGGGGATCTGGGCAATGCTAGGGAAAGAAAAGAGAGGAAGAAAATGTGATTGTTATAGAAAAGAGAGGAAGAAAATGTGATTGTTTTAAAATGGTTGGGACTCAACAAAATCAGTTTTAGATATTTCCAAATTTATTTACATATATTTTTATTATATAAGGACTAAGAAACATATATCTTAAGGTTTTAACAAAATTTAATTTATTTCAATTTTTCTCCTTCATATATTCTTTTTCCCCTTTCCCTACTATTTTCAGAGTTCCAAACAAAGCCTTAAAGAATCTGTATTACAGAGGCACACACTTCAAAACAGGATCACAAACCTCGATGTATGCATCCCATGCTTCATTTGTGGCAATGATGGAACCTGTTGACTCATCCCACTTGAAATCACTCTGATCAAGTATTGACTTTACAATGGCATACTGCTTCCTAAGGGCAGTAAACCGGCTTCTCAGTTGATCCTGGTCCCACGGCAGACCTGTTTCTTTATGGAACTCCTCACAAATGCACTTCCACGCTTCCTTGTTAAAGAACTTGTTTTGTTTGTTACCAATCCGTGCTTGCTCTACCATCAGCCCCACCAATACATTAGTGAGGTTTGGATTCCACTTAGCCCTTGATTGTGATTCTGGCTGCTGAGATGCTACCACCACCTGCTTCCTTGAACGAGTAGGCCGGTTTGCCATCTAGTAATCTATCTAACTGTATATAAAAATGAAGTACGCTTTGTCCATTTTCTGCAAAATCTGGCTGAAGAAAAAGTAACAAAGATAAGAGCAGACTCTATTAGGGGCACGTGCAAGAGGAGGGCTTGCCTTGAGGATTTCAAGGTTTCCATTTTTTTCTGAAGTATCAGTCTGTTTTTTAATAATTTGCAATAAATTCTAGTCTTTAGTTCTTTTGAATCCAATGAACTATGAAAGTGGAAGTTGTGTAGAGTACTACAAGTATTTCATATTTTTACTTTTTTCACACTAGCAACCCAGAACCATCTATACATAAAATTTTCGAAAGTACACCCTACAAAATCAAATTTTCACCTCTAACATTTATCCAACTGTTAGGGTTAATTCATCACAAAATGGATTTAAGCTTGGTAAAATGTAATGTGTGTGTGTGTGGCAGTGAAAACTGGAAAATGAGAACATTAATCTTGGCAAATTATTTGAAAAAATTGAAGAATGAGAACCGTTTTTAAGAGAAAAATGTGGTCACATTACTATAGATATGAAAATTTTCAAGAAGGCGGGAAGTTTGTCACTTTATACAAAAGAAATACACCTCTACATTAGTAACAACTATTGCATAGCTGAAAAAGTGCGATTAGAAAATGCAATCTTATGTATAGAAATTACTCTTTGTAAAACTACAAGTTGTACAGTAACTCATTACAGTTTCACAAATTACAATTTTTTCATTGCATGTTTTAATGAAAAATTGATATAATCCATCATTGTAATTACTAATTAGTAACAGGCCTAGATTTATTCTAGGAAAATTAATTTTCAATTGGACATTCTGACACATATATGTATGTATGTATGTATATTTATGTACACGAATAAGTGAGTAGAAAACAATCAGAAAATTCAAAACAAATAACAAATGAAGAGCCCATTTGGTAACCACTATCAAGCCAACTTTTTCACCAAATATACACGGCTCTTGACTTCGGGCTCCAAATTACTAATAAGTAATAATAAAAAATATGTAAAACTGGAATTTCTTTTCTAGATAGATTATGTGAAATTTATTCAGAAGACTATTTTACCATTTTTTATACAACTTTTTCTTTACTTTAATAGTAAAATATAATTTAATTGCTACGTAGAAATCAAAAATTTCTTTACTTTCACAATTCAAACAATTTAGTGGACTGGCTTCACATAAAATTTCACCAATTTCAGCCAAACAAGCCAATTTTAATGCTACCAAACGGCTTTAAATATTCATCCAAAATATGCAAATTAGAACTGCAAAGAGTGTTCCGTAGAAATCTTGTAGAAAATATAGGGCTATAGAGGATCTGTAGATTAGGGTTTCAGATTTGAAATTCCGGCCATAAAGAAATTCATTGGTGAAAATAGCATATACTAATCGTGTTTCATACTAGAAAAGTGAATCAAGACGCAATTTTTGTTTGAGAAAATAGGACAATGTTCTAAGTTGAAGCAGCTAAAACTGAAGATTGTGCAAAGAAAGCAAATACCTTTATCACTGTATCGAAATGGAAGGACGGGGAATTGTCGGATCGAATGCTGGACGCTGGGTAAGCTTGTGAAATCAAAGCACGTTTCGAGGTGCTGTAACTTTTCCGGAAAGGAATTAGGAAGAATTAGGTGAAATTCGGTTTAACCGGCCGGTCCAATTCTCCTCCGTCTCGGAATTATATTTGTTCTTTGCTTTTCGTCCGTCCCAAATATTATCTCCTTTTTCCCTTTTTGTTAAAGAATACGTGGTCCCAAATTAAAACCCGTACCCCGTGAGGAGTTAAATATGGGACGGAGGGAGTATTATTTTCGACAATAACAAATCGGTACAACCCTTTAACACAGATAACTTTGTCCATAAACTAGGCAACCGATATTTATGTCCTCCATAAGAACTCTCTATTACATACGAATAGGATTAAAACTGCAAAAAGGACCAACTATCTAGAAAAATATTGTTTTGAGAAAATTGAACTAAATAAGATTAAAAACAATTTTTTTTTCCAAAATATTACTCTCTCCGTCTCCCCTATAATTGTTCCATTTTTCCATTTTTGGATGTTCCCATATTATTATCTCATACCATATTTGATAACATTTGTGTTATTCTAATTCATTCTTACTTTATTCTCATTTTATCAATTCATTATCAACCACACAATTCTACTTTTTAAAAAATCATATCACTCTCTTCCGTCCCAATATTAGGTAATTAGGGGGCAGAGATAGTGCTATAAAAAATTTATGAACAAAAATGTTACTATAATCATGTTTAAGTTTTATAGTCACTATTATGTAACAGTTGAATACATTTATAATCAGTTAAGTTATCAAGGTCACACTACTTTTGTTTTGGTTAGATATTTGGAATTATTTCATTAAAAGCGGATATTTCCTAGATAAGAGTTCATGAAAAAGATATTTCTACACTTGATATAAATAATTATTTGTACTTCTCTTAGCATAATTGGGGCAGTCCAAGGGCGGCGGCACTCGAGCAGCGGCCAACGACAATTTCTCTATTAATGTGATCAGATCATATAAATTCCGTCTCTCTGCAGAAGGTCTTCGTATCATTGTCCACGCAGATCGAGCGATGAATGGTATTGAGATGGGACAAATGCTAAACAAATTGATCGAGAGAGATGCTTTCTTCTTGTGTTTGCGTTTGCAATAGATTTGTTGTTAAGGCTAACTTAGGTATTAGATTATTTTTAATTGTTATTTAATATAATGGTTGTGAATGATAATTTGGGGATTGTGAATAGAATTACCCTGACAACTAACATTATAAGGCCCATAAACTCTAAACACAGAATTTTGATAATATAAACATCTAGTAAAACTGTCAGTTCAATTGAAAGAGTTTAAGAACGATCTAAATAAAACAAACTATTTGTAAAAAAAAATTGGATTAACACAAATGTTGATTCCCAAAAATTAGATTTGCAATATTATTTGGTATATCGATTATAACTTCCTTTACAAAAACTAGTTCTCAATTGCTGTTTGTTTATCAATTATCTATTTTGCTCTTGCATGGTTTTTCATTTATTTAATTGAAGTCACCAAATTGTATTAGATGTTTTTTAAAACATTATTGAAATAAATTTATGATTGAAGTTGCTATTATAATGATTAAAGTATAAAAGGATTCCATGTAGGGTGCATGGACATACCTAATTTCTGACCTTTATGGCTTTCTAGGTCTCCTATGGGGAGATCTGATACATTTTTGGGTTGTGTTGGTAGAAAATGTGTTGAGTAGAAAATTCGGCAGCAATTCAGTACAGTAAAAGTGACTTCTCCAATACAAAAAGAGGGGCGGCCTATTTATAGGCGCTTACAAGAGGTTTCTTGAATACTAATGGGCTTGGCCCAATCAAACAACTAAAACAAGAAGCCTGATCCCCGGCCAATGGGCTGGTCGGGCCCAGAGTTAAACTAATCAATCCAAGGACCATATTAACTAGTCGGACCGTGTGCTGGGCCTGGTTCGCGCCCGAGCCCAGGCATATTGGGTCGATAGTATTGGACCTGGCCCATTATCCCAACACGAGTCCCCCACTCCCCTAGTCGAGTAGCAGACTCGGCTAGAAGGGAGTAGTCAAGTTGATCAACGATCGGTTCGTCTATCGGATCGGCTGGCTAGTCGCACCTCCATTGTAGCAGTCTGGGGTGCTCGTCAACGTAATCGTTGGCCCGTAGGGGGGCCATACTTTGCAGGCCTTGATCGGCCATATTTTGGGCCTGAAATTCCAAAATACGAGCCTTGTTTTTCTGTAGCCGTATATTGACCATGCGACGGATATACATGGGCTTTAGCCGCACACCCGACCAATAAAGAACCCCGCAGTCAGGGTTGGAATCTCGTCCAAGCCTTCGCGTTTTGTCACAGAAACCCCAGGCCAGCTTCCTAAAATAACCCGGAGCTATTCCAATTAATAATTTCCTTCCTTTTTTTCTTCTTTCCATATTCTTTTAATTTCCTTGAATCCGAGTGTGGCCTAGCCTTAACACCCTCGATCATCCACGCGCAATTCAGCCATGCAGGTCCCCTCAGCTTCAGCCGTTCCAGCCGCAGCCACGGCATCGCCGCGTCGCTCCATCCCCAGTCGGCGAAGGAAACGCAGTGGCTCCCCTTCTCCGTCGCGCCGGAGGGAGGGTCATTCACGACGTTGTTCGCCGTCGCGATCTCGTAGCCCAGGCGGTCGGAAAAAACCCAGCGATTCAAAGTCATCATCGCCGCCTGTTCCAAGCCTACGCACAGGTTCTCAACACAGTTCACGACACGGAGCTCATCATAGTGCCCTCTCCACCCGTGAACGTCGTCCGTCTGTCAAACAATCCCAGAAACCTCCAGCGGGTCAAATATCATCTATGCGAGACCCCCCGGGCGAGGCGGACGCACTGCCACAGTCTGGGAACTTGGTTGCACGAGCCCATCGTGGCGAGGTGGGGAAAGAGTCCGTGCGTGGAGGCTCTGTTAAACAAATTCAAGCCAGCGGGGTGAATGCAACGTCTCAACTCGAATTCGGGGCATCAGGGAAAAATCAAGGGGTCTCCGATAATTTTTCGATGCATGAAAAGGTCACCACCTCCTCGCGGTTGGACAGACCCGCTACGCGGATTGTGATCGTTAAGGGACATCTCCGGCCTGCTCCGGGGGGGCCACATGACCAGTCTGTGCCATCCTCCAACAACGTCACCCCTGTAGTGGACATTGCCTCACAGTCGGATAGCTCCCCCAAATCAAATGGCGAATCGGATAGCGTCGAAGATCCTAACGCTTGGAGGGAACGTTTGCGTTCCACCAGTACGGAGGCAGATTTGAAGTTGGCGAAAAGTTTGGTCGATAGCAATTGCACCCTCATGTTGCCAGATCCCGAGAGTAGCCTCACCAGCCCTCCTCCAGATTCGTTCTTCGGGGTTCACATTGCATCTATCGCGCGGGGCATGCGGGTGCCTTTATGTCCATTCTTGGTGGCACTCCTTGCCCATATCGGGGTATCGCCGTGCCAGATGACCCCAACCGCACATATGTTTACGGCTGCTTTTGTCGCACGTTGTAGTGGCGTTGGTATCCGGCCATCCATACCGTTGTTCCGTGCATGCTTTAGGTGGAACCGTCCTAACAATAAGACAGATGACGGCGGGTTCGTGTCACTTTGCCAATTACCGCACCGCAAGCTTTTTGATCAGTATCCAGATCCACCTAGGAAGTGGTCGCATAAATGGGTATGGGCATCCGCTCCCCGCTCGCTCCCCGTCACGTCCACCTGGGGTATTTCAATGCGCGAGTACAAGCCTGCCTCTCTCACCCCTGACCTTGAGGAGAAGGTCGAGGCCTTGCTCCAAGGGGGCCCTTTCTCGATTAATTCGTATACAGGTAAATCTTCTGTCCCAGCAGGTCACAGATGCCATATGAGATCATCCCTTAATTTGCTAATATTTTCAGATGTGGCAGGCAACAGACACGAAGTTGCTGCCCCCAATGTGTCATTAGGGACCATGCTCCCACCTCCTGTGCCTGGTGCGAATTTATGTCCGCCCAATCTTGGGGAGAAGCGCGGGGCCTCCCCGTTCCGTGAAGAGCAGGTTGCCATGGACGGAAAAGGTGTGAACTCCACTCTAACTCAAGAGGAGAAAGACCCGGCTGAAATAACTCCACCACCCTCTTGTTTATTTTTATTATTTATTCCTTCTTCTTCTTTTTTTTTTCAAGCAGGCCTAGTTACGGCGCAGGGTGTTGCCCCCCAGTCCGTGGTACCTGATGCAAGTAGGAGCGTGTCCGACGCCACCATGCCCGAGGTAGACGCCGGGGTGAAGAGCGGGCAGGGTGTTGCCCCCCAGTCCGTGGTACCCGTTGCAAGTAGGGGCATGCCCGACGCCACCATGCCCGAGGTAGACGTCGGGGTGAAGAGCGGGGTTCCCCCACCTCATGGGGAACAAGCCGGTAAGAAGAAGAAAGGTGTGAATCCTCCTCTTTGATTCGGGAGCGGAGAAATAGTTCAACCGGTACTAATCCATTTTACTCTGTTTATTTCTTGCAGGGGTTGCTGGTATGCGGGGCAGGCTCGCTGCTCTGGCCGCAGAGGAGGACGCCAGGTTCCGGCCTTCGAGGACTGAAGTCATTCCCTTCATCGTGGAAAAACAACACGGGGCCCCTCTTGTTAACCAACCAGCTCCTACCCTCAGTGCTTCATCGATTTTGGATATGGCGCGCTCTATCAAATCTTACAGCGCGGTATGCCGTAATTTGACGTTTCACTCTTCCTTTTTTATTATCATTGTCACTATAATCCTCACTAATTCTACGTCTCCTGCAGGGGCTGATGGACACAGCCGTCGCGCTTCAAACAATAGGTCGTCGTCGCGATGAGCTCCAGCACCAGGCTGACGAGGCTCACCGTCACTCGGTTGCCGTTCAGCGTCGGGCGGACGAAGCAACAGCTGCTCTGTCCGAGCTCCAGTCAAAATATGACTTCCTACAATCGAAGTATGATCGACTGCAAGCATCGTTCACGGATGCGGGGCGTCAGGCAGTTGCGGCATTTCAAACATCCCCGGAATTTTCAAAAATCATCGCTTCGAAGCTGGAGGCTCACCGCTCAGAGCAGGTCCAAGCATGGTTGAAAACCGAGGAGGGTCAACTTTGGCGAGATAAGGAAATTCTCATGTCCTTCAGGTGTGGCCGATAC